CCGGCTGCCGGCCACGGCCGGGCGGTGAGGCCCCGCCGGCCCCGGGGAACGCGGCGCCCTTGGGGAGCAGCCGGAGCCGGCGCTGCTCCCACTCCGCAGGCAGGGAATTTCGCGGGGCAGCCGTCTGGGAGCAGCACGGCCGGGCCCAACCCTCCCGCCGAGCGAGGAGCCCCTGGGGCAGGGGGCTGGGATTCCCGGCGGGACCTACTCGGGCCCCTCTGGCTCACTGCGGTCACGGGCTTCTCCGTGCTACAGCTTCCCCCCAGCCCGGACTCGGCGGCAGGGGACAGGCAGGGGTCACCCACGCGTGACCCAGCCTGGGGCTCCTGCCCGGCTGTAAGTGGCACCAAGCACTGCAGTGAAGAACAAGGCCAGAAATAAATTTTCTTCTCTGCCTGGAGCATTTTAATAGGAACAACTGGGCTGTACGTCCTCTGGGAGCAAGAGGTGACAACCTCCCGTCCTGGGACAGGCCCCAGGACCGAGTCCCACCTCTGCCATCCCGGCTGCCAAAACCTCTTTTCCCCAGCTCTGGTGGTCCCGGTCCTGAGTCGCCGTCTCTGCTGACTGTCCCATTGCCACAGGACGGTACAGCTCGTCCCGGCATCGGCACCGCGCCCGCCCTGACCGCTGGGCACCGTGCCCACTGCCAGGCTCCTCAGAGGCAGTGCTGGAGGCAGGGGCACGCCAGCCTGCGCACCCCGCCCTGCAGGGAGGCATCAGCCAGCGTGAGGAGGGGGCTATGAGGCAGCCCCTGGCCAGTTGCCATGTTGGCCACCTCTCCAGGCAGGAGAGCCCGGCTCCAGAGAGCAAAGCCAGCCAGGTGACCCACAAAGGCTTCTGCAGCAATGAAGTCCCTGCCAGGGTGGCCCTGCTCCCGGCCCAGCATCAGCGAGCCACCAGCAGGAATTTCATAGCCCTGCTGGAAGCTGGAGCCAGCAGCCAGCAGCCGCCTGTCCACGTAGAAGCGGAACTGGCCCTGGCTGGAGGACCAGGTGAGGCAGAGGTGGTGCCACTTGCCATCCAGGAGTGGCATCACCGGGAGCTCCCGGAACTGCCTGTCCCCAATGATGACGCGCGCAGAGCTGGTGAGGTTCCCGCCACGGCCACGCATGGCCAGCTCGCTGCTGCCGTCCTGGGTGTTGTAGGAGAGGAGGACACCGAGGTGGGGGCCTAGGGTGGCCAGCCAGGTGCAGAGCGACAGTGCCCGCAGCCCCCGGTGCAGCCCCGGCCCCAGGACAGCCCCGTGCTCAGCAGCAGTGTTGGGGAAGAGCAGGACGGTGCCGGTGCAGCAGGCTGGGGAGGAGGGCGCCGGGACAGGGGGCCTGGACCTACCCTCTCCTGGTTGCTGGGGGCCCAGCGGCTGCTCCTGGGGCACCGTGGTCATGGTGGGGAGCTCCAGTGCCACGGCTTGGGCTCCTGGTGCTGCGTTGCGAGGGGGCTTCATGTCCTCCCTGGGCACTCCACCAGCCTCAGCATCAACTGTCAGCCCACGCCCTTTCTCCTGCCGGCGTTGCTGCCACCGCCTTGTCTTTGGGCGCCGAGGGCTGAGGGTGCTGGGGGCCACCCAGCCCTGTGGCTCCTGCTCCAGCTGAGTGCCCCAGCTCCGGGCAGTGTCCATCAGGCTATGCAGCTTGGTGCCAGCCTCCATTGGCACACCTGGTGGGTGTGTGACCAGGCTCAGGGCACCCACTGTCCCCTCCAGCCGCTTCAGCCTGCGGTGCAGCCGCCGGCTGGCAGTGGCCAAACGGGCCAGCTCAGTGCTCAGGGCAGCCTGGGCAGCAGCGGCCACCTCTGCCTGCTCTGCCAGCACCTGGAAGCGTCCATCGATATTGTAGGAGATGTTGTAGTTCCCAGCGATGCTCTGGAGATGGCTCAGGGTCACCTCCTGGAGCCGGTGAAGCTGCAAGGAAGCAGGATGAGGTAGGATGAACCCACATCCCCGTGCTGGGCCCGTGCATGGCCCAAAATGCCAAGTGCTCCCCTGGCACAGGCCGGGCTGTGCCCCTTCCCCGCTCTGGGCACCCACCTGCTCCTCCAGCCGCTGCAGTCGCAGGAGCAAGAGGCTGGGGCGGGCCCTGGGCCGCGGTGCCTGGCTCAGGCCACCCTGCAGGGCAGCAGCGAGGAGCAGGCAGAGGGGCAGCACCGTCCCCGCCATGCTGCTGCCGGATGCCTTCTGCCTGCACAGCAGGGCCAGTCCTGGCCCTGTCCCCCGGGGTGGCCTCCCCCATGATGAGATCCACAGCCACCGCCAGCATGCCCCAGCAGCTGCCAGCACCGGGGCTCCCGGCCCCGCGGCCCCGGGCCAGGCGCTCTGTGGGGGCGGTTGGCCCCGGCTCTGGAGCTCCGGCTGCGCGGGTCAGGGGCCAGGCAGGGGCTGGGGGAAGGTGTGGGGACATGGCCACTGCGGGCCCGGCGTGCGGGTGCTCGGAGGGGTGGGGACCCTCAGAATAATGCGTGGGATGTGGGGCGGGCGAGCAGGGGCAGGAGCAGGGG